TAAAGCGATCTAAAGCGAACGAGAAATACAGAAAACATTTTCCCTTTCCCAACGATTTGATGCTCTGGGAATTCTATTGTTTGCTAATGATCATAACACCAAATTCTTTCGTACCATGCACGGTCTCATCTCGCTTGGCTGCTTTCCGATTTACTCCCGAAGTATGGTTCTTTATCTCAACTCAAAAGTCTTGCTCGCTTCTTTCTTGAAGTTTTAATTTGAGGCATGTTCGCCGATTCTATTCACTCACACTGACAAAGTACATCATGACAAACGTCCCACGTTTGAATAAAAAAAACAACTGTTTGTTACCAAACTTCGGGGGTAAATCGGGGGGTCGAGCCACCTTAAATAGAGGATATTACATGGGCGCGCGGAGATACGAAATTTATCTTCGAGTGTTGAAAAAATCTCTCACAAGTGAGCGCACGGCGAACGAGTGAGAGATTTTCAACACGAGAAGATAAATTTCGTATCTCCAAGCGGCCATGTAATATTCTGTTTATCATATAATTATCAATGAAGTATGTTTTGGCTTTTTCAGGCAATTCTTTCCGTGTATTTTTGTGCATCACGTGGGTCAGTCACGTGGTATCAAATGCACATATAGCCGCACCCCATTCTTATTTCCCTGTACTCTTCAACACAAGCTACCAAGAGAAAGAACTCTGCAACATCCACCTCTGCAACGACACTCGAAGACGTGCAAGCATGAGAGTACTCGCCTGTTTCTTGTTGGTCATATGTAAGTTGAATTTTTCGGCATCGTTAGTGGTGCTTGATGCTGTTAAAGTAAGCTTTTCCTTAAAGAGGGCCTTCATACAGAACGAATAAGAATTCCATTAGTCAAAATTAAGGGAGCACTCGGGTTAGTTGCTTGTCCTTTAATTGAAAACGCAAAGGAATCATAAAGCAGGTGATGTCCAAAATTACCTGCAAAATACTTATGATACCTAGAAAGATTCATAACCCTCATATTTAAACAATCATGCTGCTTCAAACTGGGCCTAGCCAAGCCCATCGGCAGAGAAACTCAATTAGTGTTTTCCAAATAGAATATTTACTTTTGGATCTTTATGTAACATAATCTAAAATTACCTAGAAAATTCGAAAACTCGATATAAATGAATCTCGAACAAGGAAACGTCTTTTTTGAATGGGAAAATCTTATCGTTTTTCTTTTAATATAACTCTAGCTTTCGAGTTAAGGTCTTTTCTAAGATAGGAACGACATTATTCGCCAACTGACTAGGTCTATTCACAGGTTGGATATCTTAAGATTCAGACTTGATTGTATGGTACTTTTATTGTACAAATTCGTGGATCTCCAAATACGTTTTTGGTCCTACCTTTAGGCACTAGAGTGTTCACACTAAATCCGTGAAACAAATACTTATTTTTAGCACTAAATAGTGATAATTAAACAATAGAAAACAAAGGATTCTGTATGAAATAGTACTAATTAGTACTATTTAATGTTCACGGTTTTAGTTTACAAATAGGACTTTTATTTTCGAATAAACGTCTTTCCTAAAATGAGAATCATTATTTCAAAGGTACTCATTGGAGCCCACTTTCTTTGTCGGTATATTTTCTTTGTCTGCTACCAATATCAAACTAGACAGTTCAACCTCTAATTGTTGGTAGTCTTTGTTCGCTTGCGTGCAGTCTCGAATAACAGTATAATATTAAACACATAAAGATAATAATAATAATATCTAATTGATTGAAGTCTAGAGTTATCTTACGTCAACAAAGGTATACCAATGTCTGGTTACTGAAGCAACGAGTTGTGTGGTAAGAATCCTCCTCGAGGGAGGGATGGGTGGGGACGCAATGTTACTGGTTTGAAAGTCATCTACAAGGGAATAAAATAACACGTGGCCGACATTTAAGGTTTTTCTCTTGCATCCTTAACATTTTATATTATTATTTTAATATATAGTTTACGTTTTCTTTCTTTGTGTAAAATAAATCAATCTTGAATATGTTTAGCGGATCATGACGTCCAGGGCCGTAACCAGGGGGGAGCACAGGGTGCACGTGCACCCCTCCTAAAAGCTTAAGGGGTGCTAATCTATCTCCTTTTGCTTTAAAATTGCATGTAAATGTTATTTGATTAAATCAAGACCACTTTCCATCTGCATATTGTAGCATTTTTAACAATCACTCATCAYTCACCCATTATTCCCTTGTTTTTGTTTTGTTTTGTTTTTATTTTGGTTCCGCAAATCATTGCCTGTGCACCTCCCCTGCAAGATCACTGGTTACGCCACTGACTTCACACGGGTATAATCAGCAATAATTACTTTATTTGTAATTGTTATATTGTAAATAGAATAAAAATGATTTTTTCAAAGCAGTGACGTTACACTAGGTGAAAGTAAGACCGTAGTAAAAAGAAGGGAATTCGAGTTTTATAATATATCAATAAAAACAATTCAATAATAATAGACGTTTTTATAAGGTATCTTACGTCAACTGTCTGCTTATACTTATTATGACTGGGTTACTATTTCAAGGTAAAGGTCTCTTTATAGGTTGAAAACAAACACGTATTAAGTTATTAACACCTATTTTTAGTCAGAAATATAAAATACAATGAGCAATTCTCTACTTTCACATCCCCATAATACTTTGCGTCTTTGGGGG